GGTAAAATGCCAATTGATTGGCAAGAAGAAAAATTACCCAAAACTTTTCTGACAGTTCTCAGATCATACGACACGACTTCAAAACAGTTTTAGAAATATTTTCTTAAAAAAGTAAGTTTAAAAGGTTGTTTGATGTGTGTGTCATTGCCTATATAACTTTAGGTGAAAGAATTTATACTTTTTCAATATTATTCACTCAAAAGTGTTAGGGTAAGTTTTCACACACTTCAAAAATGAAGTTATATTTTTAGAAATATTTCACTTACTTTTTATTATATTTCCGGAAGGATAGGAGAGGTAAGTTTAAAAACAAAGAAAAAAGAAGAAAAAAAGGATATTATAGAATTATCAATATTAAGGTGGGGGGTATAGTGCCAAAAAAAAGAGCATGAAGTCCAATTTTCTTGATGAGGCCATAGATACCCGAACAAATTTTGCACCAAGGTCCAATTGTAAAAGATCTGAACAGTCTAGCTAGTTGAGAAATCCATAATAGACAAATCTAAAATTATGGGCCTACCTTACTCTCAAAAGCAAAGATCTGAACAGTCTAGCTAGTTGAGAAATCAATCATGTTGCTTGACCTTTACATTTTCCCTATTTTTTCTTCTTCCTTTTCTTGCCTGCTTTCTATGCTTGATGTTTCTTTTCCCTTTTCAAGTGGACTCATAAACTAACACAAAAGAGTGAGACATGAATAAAACACATTTACTTGCTTGTCTCCTTTGTGGTCGTTTCCCCAAACATGTCATACAAGGAATATACGCTCTTTTCATTATAACATATAAGAGTTTCATTTCATAGATAAAATTGTATTTCTGATATGTGGTATTTTGTACTTGGTACGTACTACATCACATTTAATGTAACATACGTATATGGCTTGTTATTTGTCAATTATTTGGGAAACAGTTTTCTCACTTGACTGAGGGTTACTTGGGTGAATGATGGATAGAAAATATACTGCTCAAGTAGCAATACAAAACTAGAACAACTTATATAAGATGAAACAGTATATTTGTCTATGTGATTTTTAATATTCATGTACTGTATTTGGTTTTTCTTATAGGCATTTCACATACCAACAAATTTTTAACAACTCCAATTATCAACAAATTTTCTATTACTTTCTATTTTTTAATTTTTGAGATTTCCCAAATTTGTTCATATTTACAGAAAGATGTAGTATATAAAAAAGATTATGTTGTATTAATAAACAAAAAAATTATATATTATGGATGTAAATTGATTGTTTGTACAATTAAATTAATTATGTATTTTAATCAGATGTATCTTAACAGACCACTTTAATTTAATTACTCCAAATTTTTTATGTTCATGTTTATTTTTAATCTTTTGAATACTTTAATTGTGGCTCTCAGTCATTTGGTCTTCATTTTTATAATAAGTCAATCTCAAACTTTCTTTCTTAACAAGCTCTCTGAAGTAGTGAAACATTATCTCAATATGCTTGTTTCTCTCATGTGGAATTGAGTTCTTAGCAAGATTAATAGCGAAAAACATTATCAACCAAGCGCGTTACAACGTCACCCTCATCACTGTTCAGCTCCTTCAAAAGATTCATTAGCCATACGGCTTGGCACACACATAACAAAGTGACAACATACTCGGTTTCACAAGATGAGAGTGTTATTACTAGTTCCTTCTTCAAACAACATGATAATTGTGTTCAACCGGATATAAAGATGTATTCAGCTATAGACTTTCGATCATCTTTATCTCTACACTAATTGGATTTGGTAAAACTGAGTAAATTGCATTTTCTGCTCGTGTCCCCTGCGTGAAGGAGAACTACAACCAATAGATCCTTTAACGTATCTTATAATCTTTTTGAATGCTGCCAAGTGAGACACATTCGGTCTCTCTATAAATCTACTCACAATAATGACACTAAACACCAAATATGGTCGCGTATTGCACAAGTAGCACAAGAATGCAATCAACCTCTTATATTGAGTTGGATTCACCTCTTGCTCATCCTTATTCTTAGACAATTGTAACTTTTTTCAGTTGGAGTAATGACAATATTACATTGCTCCATTACAAACTTCTTCAATATCTCAAGAGCATACCTTCTTTGGTGCATGAGCAGTCCCTTTTTGGACTTATGGAACTCAATGTCAATGATGTCGTGAGACCAAGGTCGGTCATCTCGAATTCTTTCATAAGATCACTATTGAACTTAAGAATACATTTTTCGTTGTTGCATGTGATCAACAAATCGTCTACGTATAGACAAAGGATGACCCCACCTTCATTTATATTTGTCTTCACATACACGCCATATTTGGATACACACTTCTTAAAAATAGTCTTCTTTAAGAAAGTATATATCCTTTTGTTCCAAGCATTTGGTGCTTATTTCAAGCCGTATGTCGCTTTCTTCAACTTGTAGAACTTTGACTCTTGGTTTTTCACAACAAAATCAGGGGGTTACTCTATATATACTGTCTCTTCAAGCGATTTGTTCAAAAATGTAGATTTCACATCCATTTGATAGATAGACCAATTGTTTTTATTTGCAATACCAGTAACTAGTCATATGGTTTCAATTCAACCGATGCAAATACCTCTTCAAAGTTTATGCCTTCTCTTTGCAAAAATACCTTTGCAATTAATCGAGCCTTATGTTTGATTATTTTACCCTTGGGATTTTACTTTACCTTATAAACCCATCTTATACCAATCGACTTCTTTCCTTCGGGTAGATAAACTAACTCCTAAGTATTATTTTTCTCAATTGATTTCATCTCCTCCTTCATAGCATAAATCCATTTTGGATCACTCAAGGCCTCTTCCATCTTAACGGGTTTGGATTCAGACATAAGTACAAAATGGACGAAATCACCATCATCATTGACTTTGTTGTCTCAAAACATCTCATAGTCTTGGAGTCTTAGAGGAAAATATCTTTACCTTGTGGATTTTCTCACATTCTCTTTGATTCGGGCTTCGATGAACGATGTTTTTTCACTTCCTAATTATGCAGAATCTAAATTTTCAAAGCTGTAACCGGTTACATGTTGTTGTAGCTCCTTCAACTCATCAAAAATGACATCTCGGCTGATCACAACCCTTCTATTTTCTGCATCATACAATATGTAACCTCTGGTGGAGTGGTACCCAACAAGTATCATCAATTCTTCCTTATCGTCCAACTTCTTTCTAAGTTGTCCTGACACATGTCAATACGCTACAGAACTAAAAACTCTCGAGTAGTTCAGATTCGGATTGAATCCGAACCATGCCTCTTCCAGTTTTATATTCTCAAGCTTCTTTGTTGGACACATATTCAACAAATAGGCAATTATAGATATCGCTTCTCCCCATATCTCTTTCGACAAGTTCTTACCTTTTAACATGCTTCTCACGTTGTTCATAATAAATTGATTCTTCCTTTCAACAAAACCATTTTTTTGTGATGTATGGGGTGGTACTACCTCAAGGACTATACCCTCTTGATTATAAAACCTCCTAAAGTCATTTGAGACATATTTTCCCCCACCGTCCATTTTAAGAACTTTGAACTTGTGACTGCTTTGTCGTTCAACCTTGGAATTGAACATCTTAAACACTTTGAATACCTAATCCTTTCTCTTGATTAGGTATTTCCATAGCTTTATACTATAACCGTAGATAAATGTGACAAAATATCTATTTCCACCAACCAAATCAACTTGTATTGACCCACACACATCATAATACACCACCTCAAAGTGATGCTTGGTTCTATATCCTATATCTCTATTGAATTTACCCTTGTGTTGCTTCGCTTGCACACACTCTTCAAAAATTCCAGCAGATATGTTAATGAATGGAAATCTGGTTACCATTCCTTTCATTTACAAAGCCTTGATATCTCCAAAATTGAGATGCCTAAGACCATAGTATCAAATCCACTCTTCTAGACTAGCCTTTGTAGCAAGAAACCTATGCTCCATAGCCTTCAACTCAATTTGAAATTTCTATTGGCATTCATAGGAACTTTAAGGTTCAAAACCATGTTTGCGTCCATAACTCGTAGCGCCTTATTCTCCACATGAACCTTATAACCCTTCACAAGCAATTGGTCAATACTTAGAAGGTTACACTTGATTACTAGAATGAGTAATACATATTTGATTAAGGAATGTTCTCCATCTCGTCTCATGATCAAAACACTACTGATCCCATCAGCCGCTAAAATGGTGTCAATCGTGAACTTCACTTTGTTCTTCATGGCTTGATTAATTTTGACAAATTGATCCTTCCTCCATGTTGTAATACCTCAAATTTGTCCTACCCCTTTCACTTTTATCTGGCTTATGCATCTCGCACTTTTCGCATGCACATAACTTCCATTAAGTCATCTAAAACATCATGCTTCATTAGTCAATAAAATTGGCATTAGGATCATGGGCTTGGTAATTAGGGTTTCTCTTTGGGGTTGAGGCTTTCATCTACATTCAAGAGCAATTCACGTTGTTTTTTTAACGTCATGGTATGAGTTAGGGTTTATTTACCTATTTCATGTGATAATCAGAGGATCTCAGTAGTGGTATAAGGTACAAGTTTTATGAAAGATTTGATGCGTACAAGACAAGATAGGGTTCACATGTTAATTTTACTCCTCATAATCAGTTGAAGTGGTGCTTCATTACTTGGGCCACAATTTTTCTTATTAGATATTATTGGGCATTCATCCATGGGTTCGTTAAAGGTTGTAAGATAAAGAACATGGTTCATTTCTTATGGAGAATTATGAAAAAAGCTTTGGAAGTTCAACTCCGTGAAATAATTGGAAAGAGAAAAGGATCCGAGCTTATGTGAAGGAAAAATGTCATTTACATGTTTTAAAATCCAATACATAATCAAGAGCATCAATTATGAATACCAAATATCCATTGCAAATATGTTACATCGGAAATTATACAAAGTTTGACCTACTGATTCAAAGAGTTGGCCAAAATCAACCCACCACCCCAAGACATGGTTGTTTGTCAGTTGTTATCTTCAAATGCTTTGCAGAAGACCATGATTGTCTCAAATACCCGAATCAATCTTTTGTATGCATGGTACATATAACCTGTTACAGTATTCTTTGTTCCATCCACCAGACCAAACACTATTACATTCATCTTCACCTGCCATGTTCCAACCTTGATATACCCGTCCTGCACGTCACCACATAATCAGTCCAGACAGAAAATTCGTGCACTACTATACTGGACCAGGCTCATACCAGAATGCCACAATGCCAAGTTTCAGTATAAACCACATGCCTTTAAATCAGCTGTATATTCGCTCATTTTGCACTTCAAGCTTCCAGCATCATAGCTATAAGGAAGAACCTGCATCGAAACTTACATCATCAATACCATTCAAAACAGTCTCTATATCAAACAGAAGCAGCTCATATAAACTACAAAACTAATCCAGCAATATGAAGCCAAAATCAAAACATTTTGCCAGCCTTGTATAAGCCCTGTAAATTTCAGAAAATAACTGGATCTAAAAGCAATAGCAGTTCGGGTAATCCAAGGCAAAACTGGATCAACTATTAAATCACAACATTTAGGGTCAAAACTACTTAACAGAAAACCATAACATGAATTTAAACTAACTAAAACCCTTTTCCATTCAGCTGTAACTAACTTCTAACCGACAAGCAACAAACAAAACAGCTCCTAACAAAGTTTCAGAATCCCTGACTAACCATCCTAACAACCTCTAACTTCTCAACAGAAATATAACTGAAAAAACCAACAGAATTTTCTAACTGATTAACAACTTTTCCTAAACTACCTAACTAATTTACTAACATAATTGCTAAACACCTAACTATCAATAACTAACCAATGCGATCTCATCAATCTGGTGATAACAAAAATTCAACAAACTCTCATAACAACCATAACAGAATCCTCAACCTAGATCTATCTCCACCATTCTCTCCCTATGTTGAAGACCTTCACCCTCATTCTCGATTTTCAACTCTCTCACGCACCATTCACCATCCTCCATGATTTTTCTCTTCATCGCCCTCATGTACCAGAACCGTTCACACACGCATTCACTCTTCCCCTCTCCATCATCTTTCATCCATAATCATCGCTCTCCACATTCACTTTAATTCTCGCTATTCTCAATCTTCATCATCTCTCATCCTACACTCTCTGCTACTCCCAGAGCCACCCTGTAACCACGCAATAACCATACCGCGATTCAGCAACTATACAAAGTCACGTACAAGAGACTGAGACAGGGAGAAACATAACACAAGAAGCACGTAGAGAACATAGGAAGAAGAAGGAAAACTCGCATTCGAAGAGATAAAGAATTGGAATAAGCAATACCTGGTTTATCGCAGCGATCTCTGGGTTTCTCTTCGTTACTACTTTCACTGGAGCTGATAACTGACGATTACCGGGGAAAACCATATCCTCGTCGATAAGTCTACTTCTCGTTTCTTCACTCTCTCTGCCAAATCTTCATACTATGATATCCTTCTTGATGTCACGATCATTTCCCCCATGATTCTGGCATGAATACACGCAGTGGCTCCATTCGATTGCGACTTGATTCAGTTAGGGTTTTTGTGTGTGAGTTAGATCTAAGAGATTGGGAAGAAAACTGGGGAATTTAACGGGGAATTTGAGTTAAAGATGTAAGAATGATGCATAAAGACCCGTGGTTTGAGGAGGTAGGATCGTAGTGATGGACGCGGCGACGCTTCCGGAAATCATAAGAGATGAGATAACTCTGTGTTGTGAATATGAAAAGTCACATAACACATGAACCCTAGATTCTCCCTGCGTTTCTTTTTTATTATTTTATATTTTTAATAATAAAATCTGATGTAGAAGTTGTTGTAGATTAGGCTTAGAACAGTAATGGACTGGATTTACCGACCTTGGGCCTTCACTGCACATACAATCCTTAAGCTCATACATATTTGCTTTTTGTGATTGAGAGAGCTATTGTCACAAAAAACTGTTAATGGACTGAAATGTGATTCGTTGGGCCTTGCTTCATAGTTGGGTCTATATTTTTGAACAGTATGGGAATTTGTGACAAAAAAATTTGGTTATGGACTCATTTCTGGATTGGGCTTAGATTTTGCTGGACATATCTTTTGGTTACTGCATCCCACCATCAGAATCCAGTTATTACCCCCTGACTCTTTTATTTGAAATTTTAGTATTAGTTTTGTTTTTGTAAATAAAAATGCAAGTAATAAAAATGGTAGAATGTAATATAATTTTTCTAGGAATTAATTCTCTAGTTTTTTGATAGAATTTTCCTCACATAAAAAAAACTCCTTTTTCTTTTAGGTTTTTATTCATATTTTATATCGTCGTGCCTCATTATCTTTTTTGACGCGTTTGTTCATCGTGCAAGATACATTTTTATGGTTTCGATCATGTAACATAAAAAGTTATTATGTGATCTAAGCATATGGCTTATGCTCGCTTCCAATGCGACACACTTTATTTCTCATCGTCCTGAGAAATTCATATCATATTAGATACTATCCTGATACATGTGATATTTTGTGATACTTTGTGCAGGAACTTCTGATTACGCGTTGCATTCACAACATGCGTTTGCATTTATCTTAGTTGGATATTATTCATGACTTTGGTTGTTTCTTGGTGAAGCTTGCTTGACGCGTACTCCCTGCTTCTCCAGTGCTTTCGTCGGCTCTTGACGACTTTCTCACTTTGGTAGTCGCCGCTACAACCTTCATACTTCTTCGTACTTTACTTCATTTGTTTACCACTTTTCTAGATACCATGAGAAGTAGGAAATAAAGAGCGTGCGCTCTAAGTCACTGTTTAAAGACCTGTAGCAGGCATTCTACACTTCATTTTCTGTATGTGTTGTGCTTGTGTTTGTTTCTTTTCTTGTTGATCGATGATTCACTCAATCTAGGAATTGAGATCACGACGTCGCTCTCAATGCATGCTCCATATAAGATTTTATCACTTTCCTTTATTTCTTGTTGATCGATGAGTCACTCATTTTAGAAATTGAGATTACGACTTCGCTCTCATTGCATATTTCCTATAGGATAGTTTTGTTAGACTTTCTTTGGCATGCTAACCTAAATAGAATCTCTCTAGGTGTACTCTCTTGGGTTTATTAGTGTGTTTGCTTTATCCTTGTACATTCCATGTTCCCTTAGGACGTGCTTGCTCCCTTCGAACGCTAGTTAGACCTTAGGTTGTAAACCATGCATACTAACATTAGGTAGACGTTTCCCTTTTGTTAATCCAAACCTTAGGACTACCATTATATGATAACATTAGGTTATAAATAGGCTAGTCTCCCTTAGACTCTCTTCTTCCCTCTTTGCAACCTTGCATCTAAAACTAAAAATATTTTCTTAGCAAATCAAAAACATGTTAATCACACTTAAACCATTTTTCAAGGTAATAAAACACAAACCAATTCAAACATTTTTATGCGCTCGAGCACCATTTCTTTAAAACCCTTTTCAAGTAAGGACATGATTAATTTACTTTTGTGCCAACACATAAGTCTCCAAAGATCGAGCCTCGGCAGAAGGCAGAATTAACATTGTCCATAAAAAATACAAAACAAACAAAAACATGTGAACCGAACTACGGTAGCTCTGATTCCTCAAAAAGGATACGTAGGCATTGGGATAGGGCCCAAGTGAGTACAACTTTATTTTCTCTACATTCTTTTCTCCTTTATTTTGCATGCATTCTCCCTTTATCAGTAATAAACAGTAAGCATAGATTAGACACACCCATAAGATAGACAACAAGAGTGGATACCGTAGAGTACTACAGGCGTATGGGGTGCTAATACCTTCCCCTCGTGTAACAGACTCCCTTACCCGATCTCTCGGTCGCAAGACCGTGACTTCTCCCTTCTCAGGTTTTCTCATGTTTACCTTTCCCTCCATGTGGGATAAACGACGTTCGATGGCGACTTCATTGTTTGATGATTTTCAGCCGGTTGTTTCAGCTGGCGACTTCACTAGGGATAGTTCGACCAAATGATGGTCCATCTCGGATTCGCTCCTAGTTCTTATTTCCTTTCTTTGGGTGTTTATTTTTATGCTTTCAGTTTATTCATTCATTTTGTATATACCTGAGCATATGTGTTCATTGCATTTTACTGTTTTCCATATACTGTTGTTGTACTGGATCTGTTTCTTATTGGGTGGGTGTTACTATGAAGTAAAAGACCCAATACCCAGGCCAGAGTTGTGTACCGTAGGAACCCTAGGAATAGAGTGGAACATGAACGGATAGTTGACTTAGGTTTCACTAATGTCGCCTTGTCTTCCATGCTCAGATGAGGTACAAATGAGGGGGTATCGTTTTCACGTAGGTGATACGACGATAGTTTTTCAAGAGTACCCTCGATTCTGAGTTACCCGACCTTACCTTGACCTAGTTTTCACCCGTGAGTGGGGAGGGAATTATTATCACAGGTATAGATAGTGACTATGCTCAGATGGTGACTTTGATCAGTTGATTTCTCATAGACGGTGACTATTGGTTCTAATGGTTATGTTTTGGATTTCTATTAGTGACTATGAGGTTCTCAGATTTATTTTGAGTTCCAAATATGATCATGGGGTTCTTCCGGTTATGTTCCAAATTTGTGATCCTGGTACTAACAAACTATGCAGAGACAATACAGCAGAAATCAGTATCATGGAAGTAGTAACCCCATGATCATTTGCACTTACATCATATCATATTTATCTTTTTCAAAAGAAATGTCAGAAAAAATAAAACCATGTACTAAACTTGCATGTGCATGTCCATTCCGGGTTATCTCATGAAGTTATAGTTTCCGTCAGTAAGGTCTAGCAACAGTGATGTTCTTAAGATGACCATGAGAGACAATTGTACTTATCAGTGCTGCTCAAGTTTTCCGCTGAAGTTCTTGGCCTTCTTTGAAGGGTTTAAAGACCATTAACCCGTCCTAATGCAGAAGCTTTCAGTAAAAGACATGGTAGCACTATGACTCTACTTCAGTTTTATAACTATGAGTTACGCTGTTTTATCTTCCAGGACTATCAGATTGTTCCAACTCCGAAGAATACTCCCATTTGTTCAAGATTACTGAGCACATACTTGTAGCTGTTCAGAACGAGCATGATTTTGAAGATATTGCTAAGGCACTTTATTTGGGCCTTAGTAATGTCAGATAGAGATAGAGGAAGAATGATAGCCCACCTTTAGACTGATTATTATATAGTTGTCTCGACTACAGTCAGGCTTGTTAGACGAAATAGCTTATTTCATATTCTCATAACTCTCTTGTATTGAATTCCGTGGGAATTTCTCCTATTTCTGGATACTTTCTTTATATGGTCGTTCTTATTATCATGTTGCTCGATTATTACTGATGTTAATCGAGTTGTGGAAAACTGGAATGGACAATCATTTCATACATCATACATATCATGCATTTCATGAACTGCAAGTTTTCTGGCGGGAATTTTTATTTGATGGTTTTTGCCTCTTATTATCATAATCTACAAGACGACTTCCTTACATCCTTATCGCACTCGAGCTAACAAGTTAAGGATTATGGAACAGATTGAGAAAAACTAGGCCGCTCTCCACAAAGACATGGACACCATGGGAGATCGGATGAATCAGCTCATGGAAACTCTTCATGCCGTCATCCAAGGACAGGAAGAGCCCAGATTGAGCGTTACTAAGCTGGTTAGCAGTGCCTCTACATCTGGGAATTGCGGACCTAGAAATGACAGTGGGGGAATTCCTAAAGAGAACCCACGACCAATTGTGGATGACCACCATGATGTCATCGATCTCGATGACCCTCCAAAGGATTCTACAACTGATTTGTCTGAAACCGCTAAAATGTACAAAGATTTAGAAGAACGTCTGAAGGCTATGGAGACTTCCAAGAAACCAGGATTCAATGTTACTGTTATGTGTTTGGTTCCAGGGTTGTGATTACACCAAAGTTTAAGGTACCTGATTTCGACAAGTATAAGGGGGTTACATGCCCAGAGAATCATCTCCGATCTTATTGTAGAAAGATGGATGCTTATGATAGCAACGAGTCGTTGCTTATGCATTTCTTTTAGGGCAGTCTGGCTGAAGCTCCATTAGAGTGGTACATGCAGTTGGAGCAAACTCATGTTAGTAATTGGGGTGAGCTTGTTGATGCTTTATTGAAACATTATCATTACAATACCGCCATGGCACCTAACCGTGCACAGTTGCAGAGTATGTCTCAGAAGACTAGTGAGTCTTTCAAAGAGTATGCCCAGAGGTGGCACAGTTTGGCGGCGAGGGTTCAACCTCCTCTCATGGACCAGGAACTGGTAGATTTGTTTTTGAGTACCCTTCGAGGTCCTTATTTGCAAAATATGCTCGACAGTACTTCTGATTCATTTTCAGATATGGTTATCATC